TTTTGCTTTCTTTTGAACTAAACGCTTTCTCCAATGTATTTGGTACATTCGCACTAATGTAATTAACGAATATCACGTGTATAACTAGATTACCCTATCGTTCAATAGGATTATTTTTTTGCTGATGTTCTAGAATTGAATTTTTGTTATTTTTTTTTTATCACAATTTCTTTTTTATTTTAACTTATTATCTCATTCTCCTTAGTACTTGCTTCATAATATTTGTTTTCATAACTCTCAATGTTTATAACCAAATTGGCTTTCGTTCGATTGATCAAACTCCGTTTCTAATTTGTCTTTGAAGCAAATTACTTTAATTTTGTTTTCTATTGCTTCAAGATGCCAAGCTACTATTACTTTATTGTTTACTAGTACTCTATAACTATACTTAGCATAATGAATAATACTTCTAAATTGGTTTTAGTATCCCATACATTTTTCTTTTGACTTCTGGCTTTCGAACAAACTCCCTACTTCCAGTAATTTTTGAATGTTTTATGTTAGACTTAATCCCAAAAATATTTGATATGGTGTTTTATTTTTAGTTGTCTTTGCTATTGTTTGTTTTTTAAATCAGCTACTGTTTTCATTATTTTAGTCCGAAATTTCAAATTTGTATTTGCTTCTTTCATCAAACACCTTCCCAAATCCGTTTTTAATCTGTTATTTCTTTCGACGATACCATTTCATAAAGTACATATGGTGGGCAAGGTAATAGTTTGATACCTAGTTTGAATTTAATAAAGTTAGAAACAATTTTTTTTCAAGTACTCTGTTCTATGAACGCATTGTACCATTTTAATCCTTTTGATGAATTCATTTTCTACTAAATATACATAATCAATAAAGCATCCCACTAGTTCTCACTTATTTTTCATACAAAAGATTGTTGTGTACTTACTGTATTTCTATGTTTGAAAATTACTTTCTCTATTATTACTAATCGTATTGTGTAGCCTACTTACATGAGTATGCATAATTAATAACCTAAAAATTTTTGTAATTATTTTTTTAGAGTTCTTACATGGTTTGTTTGTCATCTTACTATCAATACAATTAGTGCATTGTATTTTAATATTCTACAATTTCCCTGGCACATCGTTAATCATTTTGTTTTTAATAAATTTACTTAAATATTGAAAACGTATGTGGCATTATGTCCTGTGCTACTTTCTTTTGTTAGTTGATATATCATCCTTTAATTTAGTATTAGTGTTTCTATCATCCAATTAATATATTTACTATAAAAATCATTTAAATTACGTTTTATATAGTATCAGCCATTTTTAAGTTCTGCAATTACTGTAAGTTTATTATTTGATTTCATGAATAGTTTCGATATATTATCGATCGCCACAATTTTGTGAACTTTCGCGATCTTTGACATACTTAAAATATTCTTCTTAATTCTTCCTACATAATAAATATTATTTAAATCAATGTATGACTTATGTGAATGGTTATCAAAATAAACTTTTAATTTTTCTATTTTCGTAGCAATTAGATTTTCTCTATTTGGCAAACTTACTTCTAACGGTTTGTTTAAATTTATATATTTACTAAATAATTCATCCGTGCTTACGATGTGGTCGGTACTACCACTATCTAGTAACCAATTTATTTTGTTACCTTTTGAACAGTTATTTATTTCTCTCTGTTCGTGCTGGACTTGCATGTTTCACGCTTCTGACGAGTCTTGCTGTTTTTGTTGACATTCTTTGCTTGTTGTGTTGCTGTAGCCTCTGCCTCTGCTATTTTCTCTGTATGTACATCTGCCTCTGCTGTTGCCTTTATGTCTCCCTCTCCCTCGCTGTGTATTTCTGGCTCGTGCTCTTTGTTGATAGTTGGATTGGCCTTGATTACATTTTCTTGCCATATTTTCAAAATTTCCACTTTTATAACACTATCTTTTTATTTTTGTATAGAATGTACTAAATTTGTTTTTACTTTTACTTTCTACACTTTTTTGTTCGTTTTTTTTTCGATTATTGATTTCATGAATTCCACAGTTCTTTGTTCTTCGGGTATTCGATCTATATAGTCTCCAATGTAGCTATGGCTAGCTGGTAATGCCTTTAACACAAGTCTCATTTTTTTAGCTTTAGTTATTTTCCCTTCAGCAGTCTTAAGTTGGTTTACTGTTAGCTCTAACTCAGCAAAAATTCTTCTATTTTCTAAAATTTTGTAACCCAACTTGTTCTATGACTTGATGGTCTACTGCACTTTAACCGTGAATATATATACATGTAGTTAAAGTCGATTTAAAATTTAATTGTGACTTGTGTGAGACAATCTTTACGTACATGATATATTATATTAAATTTTTTTGAGTGTTAACATCGCGTGGACAGCCCTTATTGAAATAGTTTGTTTGCTTATTACTAGTACTTGTTCACTCAGGTGTAAATTTTGTTGTAAAATTATCCCTTTAAAAAATTTCAACCTTGAATCGACGATGTAATAAGGCCGATTTTTGAGTTGAATCAAATGTTAATTCCGTGAATAAGGAAACACTAAAATCAGTCCCAAATGATATTGTTAATTCAACACTAATTCAGAGTTCATTCAGCGTTTATTAAGCGATTGTTCAAAGTTGAAATAAACTGTAAACCCTAATAGAACATGCGTATGTCAGTTGGATAAAGTTATTTCAATTTATAATTTCATTAACAGCAATAGTCATTGTAAGTGTGTTTGTTTCATGAAAGTGACTTATGCAGACATTACGTGTTTCTAACATACGTATTAATAACATGATGAAGTGCTGGAAGTCCCCATAACTTTTTTTTTGTCCTCATAATTACTCGTTCATTAAAACCATTTTCCACAAAAGTCACTTTTGGTCAATATACATGTATCATTTGTTATTAAGTTGTAATACCAGAATAAGTCACCAACTCTTGCTACCTGCATATAAAATAATCTTCACATTTATGTGTTAACTTAACCCAATAAAAAAGATCTTATAAAACCGTAGCCCTTCACAACCCTCGCGTCTCTCCACAGGCCTCCTCACATTTCAATTAGCCGCTTTTTCGGACACCACTTCTAACTTGACGATAGAAGTATAATTTGTGTTTAAAAAAAAATTTTTGCAATAAAAACAATTTTGAAAAAAAAAAGGTTCCATTGAATGTAGTAAAACAAGAACTATCTCTAACAATAGTATTCACACAATCAAAAATTCTAAGCAAAAAAATTTAAGTAACTTGTCCTATGGCTTACAGAATCAACATGGTTTACTATTTTCGTACTTACAGTTGACTTTAATTTAAATTTTCTTTGGTAACAAGAGAAACTTTTGACTTAATATTATATATATTAAAGCAATCACTAAATATACATTTGTACGTCCATATTTTATACATAGATGCTTGATTTACTACTTCAACGTACCTTTAAAAAACCAGTACTCTACGTGTTGTACACGCGCAACAGTAAGGCTACCATCCCATCTTGTTTTAAAATGGTTTTTTTATTATTTTTTAAATAATTATTACCATTTAGCAGCGCTACAAAAATTATGACACAGCATAATAAAAATTACTATGTCTAACATACTAAAAATTGTGATACTATAATTTTGCTACACAACATAGTAAATTTTATAGTAATCGTTTCGAAATAACTCAAATTCTACAGTAGAATTTTCTATCTTACATAGTAAAGTTTCTAATTGAACTGCGTTGCTATTCAGTACAGTAAATATTACTATGTTTAAAAGTAATTTTTTACGATGTCTATAGGTATAGACGCTTATTGAGCTTCAAATTTAAGGTTATATTAATGTAATCAAGACGAGAAATATATTTTTTGATTTATAAAGGTTAAAAATTTATGCGTGCAGACAATTAATTTGAAATCGATATTAAAGCAGACATATTGTATCGTGGTCTAGTGGTTGTGGAGCCTGATTCGGAAGGAGGATGGAGGTTCAATTCCCGGTTGCTGCAGATCTTTTTTAAAATAAAAACATTTTTAAATAAATAATTTACTATATTCTACGGAGCAAAAATATCTATATTTATTTAAACTATGTACCTTAATCTCATGTTTAATATATTCCCTGTAAAATGCAGATATATGTATATTTTTTTTCTTATTTTGTTGTAAAAATTCTCTCTGAGAAAAGTAAAAATTACTATGTTGAATACCACATTTTAATATAATATGGTTTTACTATGTAGCATAGTAATTTTTATAATATGGCGAGTATGTTTTATCTTTCATATGAAATATAGTAATTTTTATTTTAATTGTAACACTTTTTCTAACATCACTTTTCTCAGTGTATCATTCATTAGTTTTCATAATGGGAATTTAGCTCAATGGAATAATTGATGCAACTTCGGAAACAGTTTGAGCTTGAAGTCCTCCACCTTTTTCAATTTCAGTACTGTTTAAATCGATTGCACTTGAATATTTAACCATGCAAATAATAAAGGACAACTCAGCGATTCCAAGCTATATGTACTTTTATCTTAAGTATTACCAAATTATTGCTATTGTCAGTCAAAATAAAGTGTCTGAAATCAATTTTATAGTAGGTGACCTTACCTTAGACATTGTTAGAACTTTGTCAAATGAATATTCATTATACCATAAAAATATCCCGCACATAATCTCAGATGTCTTAACTGCCGTATTTTAAATGTTCAATTTAAAGAAAAAAATCCTAATTAACACAAAAACCCTATAAAAATTTCGTAAAATTGCTTGTATAAGGAAATGATATGTAGAGTTCGCCGAATTTTTGTGTATTACAGAATACTATTCATTACATTAAATATCCAAATGTAGAATTTGAAACGTTTTATCATTTTGTCCCATAGGTCAGTCCATTGGCTTTATTGCCATTTACAATTGCATTATAGTTATGTTATAAATTTTAAATTGTATTAAAAATGATATCTATATGAAAATGATATATAACCGTACTTTATATATATATATATGTATATGTCTTACTATAATGTATATATGTGTGTATCTATCTGCAGGTACAAGTGTGATATTTGTTTCATTCACTATTTCTGCATTATTATCTAAAAGGGGTCAATGGTTATACCTTGGTGGAATTTTAATCAGTATTTTGAACACCATGTTACTATCAACTTTTATAAATTTTTTTTTCAATTGGACCATAATAAGTCAAGTACAACTTTATATTGGACTTTTAGTAATGAGTGCATTTGTTATTTATGATACACAAGTTATCATTCAGAAGAGCAGAATGGGCAATAAAGATTATGTTATTCACTCACTAGATTTGTTTCTTGACTTTATTAATATATTTAGATATTTAATCATCATTCTCACGCAAAAGGTAGGTTGTAAAAAGTTTTTGTGTATCAGCGTTAAAAAATGACTGCAATTTACATTTCAGGAACAAAAGAATAATAAACGTAAAGAATAGGGTACTGCGAGACATTTAAAATAGAAATAAAGGATATCATCTTTCTTTCAAGACGAACACTGTACACGTCGTAAGAATATATTTTACAAGGATATACATTGTGGGCTTAAATAAACGTAAAACGCATTTACGTGTATACGTAATGATTGTTGTGCATAATTATGATGTCATTTAATATTTATTATAATTATAATGAGTAAAATAAAGCTGTGAAACAAAATGTTTATGTTTTTTTGAAAGAAAAACTGTTACTACTTGCTTTAAAGCCGTAGCAAAAAATTTAAATTTTGTGATGAGCGTTGACATTTATAAAATTGTTTTTTAACTCTAAACTTTTATGAAACTTTTAATAAATCAAACGTTTTAACCTGCCACATAAGAGACAAAGAATATAGTACACAAGGAAAACGTACAATATATCGCTTTCTCAAAAGAATTCTTGTGCTCCGAGGAAAAGAAGCAACTCTTGCTACTCTCTGACCAAAAAACGTACCTATTACTAAGCTACGCTAAAAAAAGCTTAAGTAAAATTTAGTCCTTTAACTTATGTATTAAGTATGCTTGTAAAAAGCTGTTTTCATTTGTTGACTTCGTTATGTAATTAAAAAGGGTTTTGTCTTTATTTTCCCATAAATGCTAAATTATTTTTTTTACGGTTACATTCAAACTGACATAATAGTTATTTTTCTGTGTCGATCGATATTTTTTCGGTATAGAAAAATTTTTTTTCGCACTTTTTTACCATAAATGTGTTATCAACAATAAATAATGGATCTGCAAAGTATTTATTTTATAGAAAATTTGATGACGAATAGATGGACGGTCGTAAAATGCCTCTAAGAGCAATAGAAGCAGAGGTACAAGTAAAAAACTAGATAAAAATGGCATGTATTCATAGATTTTTAAATGAATAAATAAAGTAAACTTATGATTTGGATAAAACTATTTTTCCCGTGTTCTTCAAAAAATTCTGTAAGTAAATGACTAATTTTCTCTCTTCTGAAAAACATATTAAATCGTATTTTTTTTGTCTCTGGGAAATAGACGAATAAAAATACAATACAGATACGACTCATACAACATGTGTTGTCTCTGTATATTGAATCCAATTCCAGGAACACAAACCCGCTTGTTCTCTCAGCTCAAGACTTCTCTCCGTGCAGTTATTTACTGCCAAGCCCTTGTATTCTTTATTCATCCGACATGCAACAGTCTTCTTAGAATAGAACAAGCATCAATACTATGTGTGGTTTAATGCATGACTCTTACTTTTAATAATAATTCTGAACTAAAAATTTTAAAACGTAAAGCTTTTTATGTTAAAATGCATCAGCAGAAAATTTGAGCAGTTAAAAAGAGTTTCACGTACAAAACAACAGATAACATTAAAGCTCATACAATTCTGAATAAATTAGCACTTTTTGGGCTCCAATACTAATATTTAAAATAAATTCAGTTCACAATACATTAATTGTTACGAGAAAAAAAGGAGGAAGCTTTGTGCTCATGAGTTGGCAAGTTTTTTTAAGTTTTTTGGGAAAGCGCTCTGCTGAGCAATTTTATCAGTGAAAGGACGGAGAAACTTAAATGGAAGTAATGATTTTTTCTTGAATGTAAGTGACTAAGTATCAATAAGAAGATATCCAAAACTGTTTATTTATTTGAGAGATACAGTTTTACAGTATTCATTAGTGCCTTTCTTCTTAGACATGGAAATAGGCTTGAACCTTCTGTTTCGCTGCGACGTTTACAAGGCCATAAAAACAATTACGCAAGTAGACTAGTCATTAGGTGGGTTTCGTATGAAAAAATGCTTAAGTCATTTTGCCCTCTCCATTTTTGACTTTTTTCTATGTAAATTTATAGTACCAACTTTCCAACAGCTGAAAAGTGTTGCATTATTGTTTCATTGTGCAATGACATTAAAAAAAAGTTTTCTGCTTTGTTTCTTAGTTATTTAATTTTTAACAAAGATTCAACATCAACACTCAAATAGAACAAATTAAAGGTTTTAAAAATATTGTTCCATCCCGAGTTAATACAGACGAATCATATTATAAGTAAAAATGAAATTCATCCGTCAAATTAATACAAGACGTATTGGGTTTATACACAAGCTCGTATAACAATTGGAGCTCAAACGTCCCTTATATGTGTGTGTGCGTATTAGCTTTAAGTTGAATATTTTATAGTATGCTGATATATAATACGACCAGCCTCGTTGTAAGAATGCGTGTATGTATTGAAATTGTACGTTACATGTATTAATGCATAAATTGTATTATGTGTATAAACAAAAAGCTCACTTGCGCATTGATTGTCCATTTCTAATAATGTAAATTAATTCAAAAATTGTACTTGATGCATTATTTCATTATATTCGAAATTGATTGTGAAATCCCCAAAAGGATTCATTGCAAAATTTTTAAACTTATTTATCAAACTTTAACTTGTATTTGGTGTTTCTTTTATTGCTGATATTGACTTTCATCATCACTGATCCACAAATCTCAATCGCAACTGTCAGAAATATGCGATTGGTACTGTCGTATTGTTATTTCCTAATACATGAAATCACAACATGAAACATCATCGTGCAAGCCTACTGTTTTGCTGTCAACGCAGTCTGCAAGAACGTTGCTCATTAATTGACCTAATTCAACCGAAGGCCTCTTTTGCTTTGAAACCCAACAAAAAAAAACAAATAAAGCTCACAAACTGAATCCTAAGAGACCCACGAACTACACTAAAATTATATGGTTAAGACTATACTCTCAATAAGTCTGGTCATAACAATATCCACCAAATAAGCCCCGACAAATTTACACGACTTCCTTAAAAGACCTTTTACAAGGCTTAAGAAATGGATGAAGTCTAATAACAGCTGCTCAAGAATTATGTACATTCGCACAGTTATTACTACACTTAAAGGTAAAGCTCGAGAAAGTTTAGTACGTTCTACTTTTGCATCAATTTATCATTCAAAAAAACATCTAAAATCAGAATTTTCACCAACCAAGTCGTATCACGAATACATGGCGAAAAATTTTAAATACTACAATGAAACAAAACGAATTAGTTCAAAAATTTTTATCATAAAATAATTCCTCTCACAAAAACTACCTTCACAGCCCTATTGACTGAATAATGACTAACTCTAAACATCACAAAAATCACTACTTAAAAAATTAGCACTATAAACGTTAAGGAACAGTTAACCTGACGCGTGGAATTTAGGTATAGCACTTTAGAAACATCAATATATCCACGAAGCTTAAAAATCCGCTTTACTTACTGAACGCACTTGCCCACCAGTATACAATCAAGCCTAAGACAGTGTGTGTCCGAGCTCATCATGTGACAGTTGTAAGTCATGGCATGTTATATGACGTGTTAGGTGACAAGTGACTGACAAAGTTAGACCGTGACGGTCAAATTTGAATCACTGGCCTGCAAGGGGACACTTCTATCACCTAGAATTTATAATATACGCCCTTCATTTATATTTATATTCTTTTAGTTGTTATATTTTTTCTTATAATAAAATACACGAAATCCGTCAAATAGACAATTCAAGGTGGGACAATGAAAGGGTACACATTTTGAATAACTTTATACATATATACATATATGTTTCATTTTATTTCATAAAAGTTCCTATTTAAAAACACGTACTAACTTAAAACATAAAAATTCAAATTTTAACGCCGCCCGCGAGAAATGTGCGTCTAGTACGTTAAGAAAACGCTAGAGCGCGTTCACCAAAAGAATGGAAAACCTTCTACTCAAAAGGAGACAGCGAAGGCATAAAAGGCGCCGGCGCGCAACGTAAAAGTAGTCCTTCTCCAGCGAACCTGGGACGCGGAAAATCTGCTGCTCACCCAGACCTAGAACTCTCCCGTGCACCGGTACATTACCGCGACGAGCACAAGGTGAAAGAAAGAGACCAAGTACGAAGGCCGAGAGCTAAAAAGTAACTCTGCACACCACCTACAGGTAACACTTCCACTAACCGATTCCTACTTGGACTTTCGGTGCTCGACCGCTTTAATCGTGGAGACGATACATCCCCAAGTAGTCAAGGCACTAGGGTTAGCGACCACGTTCTTAGGTGAAGTTCCTGGGTCGACGACTTGAGCAGTGCTCAAGACACCCAAGGGCCCTGAGAACGACCTAACCCTACGTGACTTTGTAGGATAGGTTGTTAACTAGCATTAACCTTCCGTGGTTGTACTCAAAATTCGTTCTAGTCTAACCCAATGTGTTTAAGTGGAGATATTAAGGAGGGAACATTCAAATTTGAATTGTCGCTTATGTAAAAATTTCTGTTAAATGAATGTGGATAAATTTTAAGTAAATTCGAAATTATCGTGTATACCAGATATTTTCTTTTTGCATTATTAACTTAAAGAATCGCGATTATTTAAATAAAATTAATACACGTAGAAATTAAAGATACGATTCCCTTAGAATTATAGAATTTAATAAATATAAGATAA